TAAATTAATATTTTTGTAATGTCAATAATAAAGGCTGCAAAAGAACAATATGGTGTTTATGTGTRTGAATGAATATTGTGATTGTTAAACTTTAATTTCATATTTGTATAATTCATATTTTAGAACTGTCTCTTGTAATGATCTTAACGTTTCAGAATTATTTCACATTTTCTTTAATTTACTGGAACTCGACCCAGCTTGGTCAACGTGGAATAAAACTTCAGAACTGGGAACACCTATCTCAAAGCGAGATCCGCCCACCTCGTTTCTGATTGGCTACGTGCTTCAAGCGATACTATGGCAACAGCCGGGAAGGGCGGAGCCAAGCAAGTGACTGCATAAAGAAAACTTTGTTAGCTAAATGCTAACTTATTTGTGCATTCAGCGATGTGAGTAAGCTGCAGTGGCGCCTCGAAGACCTTCGGGAAGTAAGCGCAGTTGTTTTTGTAAACGCTGAAATTTTTAACGTTAAAATGTGAAGTGAAATTTAGCTACTTATCTATTTTTAATATTAGCAAGACGGGTAASCGCGGTCAGACAGCTGTGTTAGCTAGTGTTATTATTTGGTGACATAACGTAAGAGCTTYAATTATGAGCACCCCAGGACAATATCTTTGTTAGACACCGACCGGTTTAATTTTTATTGTTTTTTTTTTTTCTTATTTCATGGCTTAAGCTCCAGATACCTAGCTCATTGAGGGAAGCTGTTGTTGCTAATCATGCAGAATTGGTTCCTCGTCTGTTTCCTGTCCTCTCCAGACAGMCAGCCTGGGTTCTTCATGAAATTTGACCGCGCTTCGCTTATATCGAGGCTCGTTGTTAAGTATTCTTGTCTCACAGGATGGAGTGTTCTGGAGAAGATGGAGACCTGTGTCAGTGGCCCRGTTCGGAAAGCACCACAACTCCATTTAATAGATACGTGACAGAACAGACCTGGGATAAGGTAGCTTCACTTAAATGATGCCGACTTTTCAGTCGGGTTAAAGCCAATAATGTGGTACTGTTAGTATTTGCACTTGTTCTAACATAAACTGTGTTTAGATGCTGATGACCAGCAGGAGTGTCCTGAAAGAACGATTGCAACAGTTTGTGGAAGAGAGGATGCAAACCACCATGGTATGTAATGTTTTCACTGGCACCCTGCATTCTGCACAAGGAAAACAAGGCATTGATTCCCCGAATGACTGATTAGTTTGATCTGTTCAGGCAGATTAAATTAGTGAAGAAAGGGTAAAGAGACTGCATTCTCAAAATTTTCTGTAAATTAAGATATTTGCATTCTTTGCTTTCTTTCATCCCAAAGTTTTAGACCAAGATCTTCCTATGATGAGAGGGTACRGAGTTAAATCTGTTTTGGTCCAACCTGGAAAATACTGTAATGTTGGCAGTCGTATAAAGTTGCGAGGTGTCATGATCAGAGCGTGTCTTTTGGGAAGACTTTTAGCTACTAGCACAGCAAAATTTAGCTCAATATTTTTGTAAACCTGACTGAGTTAGAGTCATATATTTGTGTTGGCTACTGATTACCTGTGGTCAGAGGTTTATAGTAACACAGTACATTTACTTCGTTATAGTACTTAAGTAATTTTTTATGAGGATTTATGATTTTACCAAGTATTTTTTTAAATCGTTTTACTTTTATTATTTATTATTTTAAATCTAAAAATGATACTTTTACTTGTTTGCTTAAATTGAACAC